CCGCGATCGTAGTCGTTAAGCAACTTTCGCAAGGGTCGGTCACGGGATGGGTGACCAAAAAAATTATTATCTCGAGCTACTCCGTGCTTCGGAAGGCACGTTAAGCCGTTGGTCCCGGCTGCATTTGCAGTCGTTAATACCCTCCAATCCGCATTGGGCCAGCGTGGAGGGTCATGGCCCATCCTCCTTAACCATCCATAAGGAAGGCCTGAGCCCCTGCAGTGGGGACGTAAAAGGGCTGGTGAAGAAGAAGAAGAAGAAGAAATAAAATAACTAAATTGGGTAAATATATTAGCATTATGTAGGTAGATACTCAGACAGTTAAATTATATTCACAATACAGTCAGGTTAGGTTAAAAATACTAGCATCTGCAAGATCTTTGTGTTATTTAGCACCGTCAGGAAATTACGTGACTTTTTCGCTTGTTTTTACATATTGATAGCGACAACAGGTAGAATCTTGTTTTAATGGATAATAGCACGGAACCCTTCGTGCGCGAGTCCGACATGCACATGACCGGTTTTTTAACCTGGCCCGCCTACATGTTCTATATCTAACATGTGGCTCTCTGTATATTTACAACACACTGAGGAGTTGAAATTTGTGAAAGTGTCACTAAAGATACAATTGTTTTATTTATTTAGTTACTAGCTTTCGACAGCGGCTTCGCCCGCGTGGTCCCTAGGGAAATGTTAAGTGGGATAAAAAGTATCCTATTATCTAAGTCAGCTAATACCCTATCTGTATACCAAATTTCATCAAAATCCGTTCAGTAGTTTCGGCGTGATATAACTTTTTTAATTAGGGAGAGTGTTATAAACGTAAGAGTAGACAATAGACAAATACAATCAGAAAGCTTCGAACTGCTAAGCTATCGGGAGTTACACGTGTTATTGTGAGTCAACCATAAAAGATAGACATATGCTGTCGTGGGATATTTTTTTATAATTTTAAGGAGAACATTTCCGTCATACATGATTTCTAGGTGGCTTTAACCATTAAGGTTGTACACGCGACGGAAGCTTAAAAAATGGAGTAACTTTTCCCGTGTTCCCAACACTATTGATTGTAGCGTGATGAAAAGTATACTATAACCAGCTCAGGAGTATGAAAAATAATTGTACCAAGTTTCGTTAAAATCCGTCGAGTAGTTTTTGTTTCTATAACGGTTATACAGACAGATAGACAGACAGACAAAAAATTTACTGAATGCATTTTTGGCATCAGTATCGATCCCTAATCACAGCCTGATAGTTATTTTGGAAATGTATTTCATGTACAGAATTGACCTCTCTACAGATTTATTATATAGATTATTTATAACTAACTCTGACTTTTAAAATCGTTTTATAAACTTGATTTTCAGCATTAATTAATCGTTTAATGTACTATTTTTGTGCACGTTAGAAGATGAAAAAAATAAAATCTCTGTTGCGGTAAGTTTTACTTGATTAAACCTTTATCTATGCCTTACTCGGATTAGAGTTTGATGCTATTTTTTTATTACAGAACAGCACTTCACGTGGTAGAGACCGACTAGCTCAGTCGGTAGAGCATGACACTCTTAATTTCAGGGTCGTGGTTTCGTGCCCCACGTTGGGCGCCACGGAAGCGTTGGTTTATGTATGGGAATTGAAAAGCACCCCCCAGGCTTCAGGTAAAAAGTTTTAATAAACTTTATTTTATTTCTCAGGGGGTAGGTACAGATTCGCTCGTTATGGTTCTTGTATCTTGAATTAAGAGGGCTTAGCTATAAAATTGAAAAGTATTTAATGTCGAGTTCGCGAGGTCAGAGTATCACGGGCCGGGCAGAAGCTGGCAAGAGTGTAGACCCGACGTCAGCTCCGGTCAGCAGCACTGGTGATCCACGAAGACTACACAGGTCAGGCGGGGTCCGGTGGAAGAACCCTGTTAACATAAATACAACCCTTAATTAGAAGTTCAATAAGGCCGGCTACCTGTGGCCTGGAACAATTAAAATAGCTGCAGTTGCTATAGCTTCTATAAAATCTACTCGATAAAAATTCGTATTTCAAATGATATTAAAAATCATTTGGAATGAAGTTAAAATAAAAGATGTTATGATAATAATCTGTAAGTTAAAAGGGATAGAAATACTATTGTATTAAAATACACGGGAATCGAACCTTAGTTTCAGTAAAATTAAAGCACTCTTTCATTTAAAATCATCTAAATTTCAAGGTTATCAAATATTATTTATACCATAACCTGGGAATCGAACCTGAGATGGAAATAAAATCACGAAATGAAATTAAAATAACTATTATTCGGATAATGTACCGATTATATTTAATTTTTAGCAGACAAAATTAAATATCAAATGGGTGAGGTAGAAAAATAATAAAATGTTAATTGTACGAAGTCTCAGAACTTCGTTTTGTTTCAATATATTATTTGTATAATATTTTATTAATGTTATTACTCTTATTACTTTACGTATAGCAAAAATTTATGATAAATCCTTAGATATCTATTTCACCTTTATTGAAATAGAATAAAAATAATATCAAACAATGTTAAGAACTAGATTTTCTCTTCAGAGATAATGTTCAATGAAAACGTTAAATAGACTCTGAAAAATAAAAACTTTCTTTAATAATAATTTGTAAGCGAGCAGTAAAAACTAAAGAAATTAGAACACTCATCTGATTTCGGGGTTATTTAGCATAAAAAAATATATAAAAAATTTAAAAATCACTTAAAAATGAAATATTGTTGCGCGAGGGGGTCATTTATATACTATTCCAACATTATGAGCCGCACTGCTCTCCCATACCTGCCTACCTCCATAGTACAATTGTAACCAATGCCTACAATTAGTTTTAATGATTATTTTTCTTTAAATTAATTTGTATCAAAAAGCAAAAGGAACCAAGCACATCAACCAAAGCTGCAAAAGAGTCAGTTAATTTAGTAAACTGTTACAAACAATTAATAACTATTCGATGTCATTGCTATTATCGTGGAACATCGACGAAGTTGAGTTGCAATGCGAGCGCATAGAACAATAGCATACATTTACTTTTTCATAAAAGCATTATGCAATCCATAGGAAACAGTTTTAGATATTGTTTCAAGGTGAATCCTTGATGCTAATCTCAGTTTCCGAATGGACGGCATAGAACGCGGGCGCGCGCCAAATCGTCAAGCTCGATGACATTAAAATTGCCGCGAAAATTAGGTCGCGAGTGTGCGTTCTGTTTCACACTTCGTTAGAGCACATAAATAATTGAAAAATATTATATATAATATTTTCCATGAAATTTACACGTCTGTGATGTCCTTTATATGGTGAATTCAAATAATTTATGAAAATATTTCGTGTAGATAATGATGGTGGTTGTTGCTGTTGAAAAAAAATGTCATCCATAGCTCCTGCTGCACAGGCAGGGCAGGCGAAAAAACGGACAGCAACGTAAAGTGTTGCTTCTTAAATTCATATCGTCATGAATAAAAACCGCAGTATTACTACGTGAAAACGATAGAGGTCTTTGTATAGCGATACTTTTAATTTTCTTTCGATGTATATCTGTTGTTTTTCGCTTGCCCTAGGAACAAATTTATCATCATCACCGTCAGCAGTAACCCACTGTTAAGCATAGGCCTCCCCCATAAATCTCCACGTCGATCGGTCCTGTGCTGCTCGCATCCAGCGGTTTCCCGCAACCTTTGTCAGACCGTGGTGATGGTGGGGCCTACCCACTGAGCATTGACGGTATTCTAGCGTCTTTCTGCTCTAGAGCGATTGGTTTTTTAGCTATGTGTCCCGCGCACTGCCACTTTAGCTAAACAATCCTTCTAGCAGTGTAGGTTCTCTTATAAATCTCCTCATTCCAAATTAAAATAGGTAAATTGCTACTGTGCCAAACCGAGAAGTTTGGTATACGCATATCCATTTGAAACAAACATAAATATAAAGAAAAATAAATATTGAAGGAAACCTGTAAAATCTCATTGTAATATGCTGGAAGTAATTCTTTGTATTAAATTATATTTGTGTAATACTATACCTACCTCATAAATATTCGAGCGAAATGAGTGTTTACGGCTCGCCATCCGGTAATTTATACATTTCGCACGTGCAACTGTTATTTTTACTGAGGTTTAAAAACAAAGTAGGTACTTAAGTAAAATGAAACAGTTAGTACATTCCGTCTCAATAGAGGCCTTAATGTTTTTCACTTGAAAATATTGTGAAAATACACGTCTTTCTTCGTTTAATTTGAATATATATTTCTTTGTATTTAATAAATATCGATCTCAGTTCCAAAATTGTACTATTTTTATAAAACGCCTACCTAAATGTAGTTACCTAGTTACTAATAAAATGTGAAAGCCACTCAATTTTCATTCAACTTAATTTTCACTTGAAAAATTAAAAACAGAACTTGGTTTCTTTGAAAATATCTTTGCTTCGGGGAAGAATGGTCGTAAATACCGTTTCAGACAATTTAGTTATCTCATTTTGAATTAAAGCATAAGTATTTGAACATTTCTTTGCACAAAACAAAATGAAAGAAGTGATTTAGGATATACGCGCCCTCTTAATGCGCGACCGACAATCCGTCGAGATTGGAAGGTTTAAATTTACGTCACTTTGACAGATGTTACGCGACAGACCATCCGTCAGTTAAGTATTGATTAATTGAATGTAAATTTTTTAAATATATGTTTTACGACCCATATTCTTATCTGCTGTGAAGATGCAGTTTTAATGATTACGAACTTCCATCCCCTTCCAAGGAAATAAGATATTAACAAGGGCAAAGTAGATCAGACACTTTAATGCATCACCTTATCTTATCTTATCCTTCGAATATACATATACCTATAGAAAATGTGAAACTAAACACGCGATTTACATTTATACATCTGGGTTATAAATCTCTCATTGAAAAATTTAATAATCCTAGCACATCATTTATGTACATTACGTTAATTAACAAGATAAATATTATTACTATGCACAGTTTAGGTTGTAGGAAGCTAATAAAAATTCACTCTTAATTATAAATTCTTTATTTGCATTATGCACCCACAAAATTTTACACCAATCAATGTTTTCAAAGATCAATCACAAATGTTTATTGATAGCCAGCATCTCCTGATGTTAGTTGTTATGTTTACACGAGTTTTTATTCAGTCGGTCGCAGTGCGTCCATATGGCAGCACGTTATTTAAATACATTACTCGATCTTAACTTTCGGGCTACTAAGGTACGGGTCACAAAACAAAAAGTTTTCATTACTGCGCGATTTTAAAATTAAGAACATAAAAATTCCCGCGCAAATAGATAGTCTATATCTATGGTCTAATACAGTAAGTTCTTTATAATGTCGAGAGTTTGAGAGCAATGGAAGTGGACCGTATTCTTTATATTTTCGGAAGCTTCACGAGAAAGAAACAGGATAAGAGGAAATCTTTTGAACAGTCTTCGATAAGTGCTGGGAACAGCCCGTTGCGGGGTCCGAGAGCGCAGCGTCCGATCAGTCAGAACTTGAATGTGGCGCCGAGGACGTCTGCCTATGATGATGGACAAGTGAAGGAATGGGAGTGTGGATTGTGTCGGAAGGAGCTTGTGGAACCACGGCTGTTGGCCTGCTTGCATAGTTTCTGTACCGGATGCTTGCAGGGACTGCATCATGAAGGAGAGACAGAGGAATGGAGTGAAATCGAGCGAAGTGAGTTCTAAAAGATTTAAGAAGTATATACATTATAAAATTATTGTAACTGTAAATTGATATAATTATAACTTATATTTAGAAAATCTCTAGTTATATTATAAAGATGTAAAGTTTTTAATTTTGTTTGTAAGGGGTAATCTTCAGAAATACTGATCCTATCATGGAAATTCTTTCACCGGTTTGCTGAAGCTTCATTATACGCGGGTAACATGGGCTTTAATTTATTTTGACGAAGTTGCGGCAAAAGCGCTTGTAGTTTAATAAATCTTCACCCCTCATTAAAATAATATTTCGCGTCCGATACACACACAATGTTGTTTGTTCTATGTTTGTTTAAGGATTTATCTATAAAAAAGTAAAGACTATGTATACACATTCTCTTGAGTTTGAATGTTCGATATTTCCCGTGGTGCGATATTGCCATTTTTTTGAAAAAGTTTTATGAAGATATTTGCAAAGAAACAAATTATGCAAATATTTTGCAAATAAATATATATAATATATATTTTTTAATGATTATATACAAGAAAAGTTAATAAGTAGGTCCATCAATTAATAGGGATGACGACTGGGTAAAAAACAATATTTTTTAATTAATAGAAAATTTTTGATACATATTTTTTGACTTCAATTTACAAAAAATAGCCTAGATAACAGACATTAAAGTTGAAGAGACATTAAACTTCAGGTAAATAGTACAATGGTAAAATGCAAGTAGTTCAGTTTCTATTCAGATGTGATTATTACGTAAACACTAGCAGAATCGGCCTGCAGTTTTGTAGAAAATGTACAAAAGCGTGACGTCATGTGATATTTTATTTTACTTTTAGAGTAGCTCGGTGGCGTAGTGGATAAGCGCCGCGGCTCCCGATCGTTGTCGTTAAGCAACATTCGTAAGGCCGACCCTTGCGGATGTGTGATGGGTGACCAAAAAAATATTATCTCGACCTACTCTGTGCTTCGGAAGGCACATTAATCCGTTGGTCCCGGCTGCATTTGCAATCGTTAACACCCTCCAATCCGCATTGGGCCAGCGTGGAGGGTCATGGCCAATCCTCCTTAACCATCCATAAGGAAGGCCTGAGCCCCTGCAGTGGGGACGTAAAAGGGTTTGATGATGATGATGATGTGACATTTTAACTCAATGCATCACCGTAATTTTAATAATTACGAAACAAATAAAAAATTACGTGTTTAATATTTTTCAACAATCTACCAAACAAAAATTATTCGTCATCCCTGTTTTACTCGTAGACGTTTGTTAATGGAATAGAATATAATAAGAAAACACCAATAAATCAAATAAGTAATAATAATATAGAACAAATAGTACAATCGACGGCCTTATCGCTAAGAAGCAATTTCTTCCAGGCAACCGTTACTGTTTGGAAAATTTTAATTTAAATCAAAATTAGGTAGTCTATGGTGTCTTAAATGTACATGATATAAACATACAGAGGTAATTACCAGACATACTATACCTATAAAATATATATAGGTATATAATGTAAAAGGTCATAATGACAGATAGTTCTCCTTTACTAGATTTTTGAAAGTATCTACCGTTTGCGCACGTCTTATATTTTCGGGCAATGCATTCCAGAGACGGGCAGCTTAAACTATAAAAGATTTGTTAAGAAATTTAGTGAAACGCATTGGTGTCTCCAATGTTAGGTAGTAGTATATAGTTTCCAAAGCGAAAATAGATAAATAGAAAAAAAAACCTGTCTGTTTGATCGTAGTCTAAGCACCTATTTTACTTTTATAGGATTATCATACGGAAGCCTATCGGCCTTGCTTGGCTTCGCTTACCTTTTGATCTCTAACAAGATAGGCCGTTTATTCTTAACATTTAAAGGTCACATTTCAAATTGATATATCCATATACATATGTATATGTATGTATATATATAAGATAGTAGGATTACGTCTGGATTGGCCCGACTATTCGGAAGATGTCCAGAATCCCAAGAAAAAATGATACATCTTGACAGAGGAGACGTTTTAAATATAAATAAAAACATAATAATCATGAAATATATCGATCGTTCTACGAAATATTTCCGTAATTAATCCGGGTTTTTTGCTCATCAATATTTTCTTACCGGGCTGTAGAAAATTATATTTTTTTTATCCCGACTATGTTAAATAACCCCTACTATTTGTCCAGATATTTTTATTTGTCCTAATGGACAAGGGAAGTCCAGATATTTTAATTTGTCCTAATGGACAAGGAAGCCACGCAACCGCTGCTGGCGTTCGCTACCTTGGTCTTTCAATGAGATACCTACCTATAGCTTTAAGGCTGCTCTTTAAAACAAAACCACAGAACACAGAAACTGTGTCAAAACGAAATGAAATCGCCCGTCATTGAGACAGATAGATACATATAGTATTGGGAAAATATTTTTAGGTAACTAATCGCAGAACATTTATATTATTGTGAAAGTTCTCATTTCTATAGGGGGAGTCCGGAGACTTGCCCATATGGGAGAGTTGAACCACTTCTCAAAATTCAACGTAATCGCACGCTAATGAAACATTGATATAATCGTAGCTCATGTTCGGAAGACCAATAATATGTGTCACTACTGTACAAAATGCCTGATTTGTTTAGTTTTTAAGTTGCGAAAAGTGTTTTGGTCATTACAAAATAAATTTTAAATAATTAGTAGTTTTGAGATTACGGCCGTAGTTATCGACGTAAGTATTGTGTATTATTTTCATCGTGTTTGCTGATTATTCTAGTCTGAAGAATATGTATATATTTTAATATATATATGTATATATATATATTTTTACATTGAATAACTTTTCTGCAATGAAAATTTTATGCCGAAGTGATGTATGCGGGAGAGTTGCACCACTGTTCTTGTTGAAGACATCAGTGGTTAATTATACCGTCTGTAGTGATGATTTTTCTGTCATAATACTAACTTGCACTCAATTTAATATTATAAATAATAATAAAACTAGTGAACAGTAAGCAAATAACATTAACAACAGTTTTTATAATTTTTGAGAATAACGATAAGTATGAATTCCAAATAATTAATACATGAAAGCAAAACTACGCAATAGACTCTAAAAGAAAGAGAAACTACTAAAATCCCTGATAATGAGTTTCCTCAGACTTTTGATCATATGTCCCCCATAATGGGAAAGTTGATCCATTTCCTATTTTTACTTCAAATCGTCTTAGCGATTTACAGTATTAAAATATTGAAAAAGTAATGATGCAAAAACAAGCATATGAATTAAATATAATCTAGTTATAATCTAGTCTCTACAACAAATCTATAAAAAGATATGATAATTCAAGTAAAAAAAGGTTCAAGTCTCCAGACTTCCCCTATAGTGTTTCATATATTTGTAAATAATTTCGAGAATAAATTAACTATTTTTTTTTTAATTAAAAGTAACTTTGTATTTTGTAAAAATGTTTAAAAAAACCATCAGCCCTAGGTACTCGAACCGTGCGACTTCTCTAACCATTGAGGTACCTGCAACCCACTATTTCGTTTCTAGTAAGCGAATTGTTAATTGATTTTTTTTCTATTGAGAAAATTTAGTAAATAAATTAATTTCTTGATTTAATCATTATCAATTACACTTGTTTGGATGTAATTTCTTGTACAAAACCAAATTTTGTGAAATTTTATTTGGATCCCCTCTTAATAGAGTATTAAACTCTTAAAGTTTTAATGACTCTTTAACAGATTGACCAGATGCACAGCAGCCACTCCCCAGTAGCAAAGCAAACACATAACTTTGTTTTATTAACACTAGGAACGAAACCAATTCACTTTGAGCTTTATCAAACATGAAATCAAAAGACAATATTGTAACTCCCTATTCTATAACCGTGGGTCAGTCGAGGATGGTTTCAAACTAATGTGGTGCGCTTTCATAATAGATTCTTTGTAATGGACGATAAAATGTTTCGTAAAGTCGATGACTGTTGGTTTCGCATATAAACTGGCATCACGCAATAACTCTTTAATTCTCATAGTGAATTATTAGGGTCGGTGCATACTATCTGTCGGAAAATGCATCGAATTTTTGTCTGTCAGTATATTTAACCCTAGGGAACAGTTCTGTGGGATAAAATGGTCATCTATATGTTAATTCAGGCTTAGAATTATCCTTATACCAAATTTCATTAAAATCCATTGGATAGTTTTTGTGTGGCATTGAACATTATTCTTTCTTCTGTTCCTTTTTTTTTGTTTCGTGTGTCTTATATTTATGTTAAATAAATAAAGGTTTATAATAATGTAGGATTTGCAGAATAATCAATATTGTACACTTGACGGATCATCCGATGCGTACTTCAGTGTGACGCTATCTTCAGTCCGATTTGCTCCGACTTTTATAATGCATAATACTTATTGATATAATTCCGAAGAACTCTATCTGTTTCATGTCATGCACGATTAAACTACTAAACGGATATACATGAATTTAATTGAGATATTTAGCATGAGACCTGCCCTGCTATTTTGTAAAAATCCAAACCCGAATTAGCAATAGAATTTCTAAGCTAAATAGTGTGAATTCGAATTTGGGTTTAGATTTTTATGGAATCGCAGGGCTGGGAAGGACATAAATAGTTACACAAAACAATATAGCTAAAGAGTGGTAGAAGTTTATACTCATTAGAATTACTAATGACAACTTATTGGATTATAATTATTAAAAAAGGATGGACACAATTTAATGAAAGCTTTGAGAAACAAGATTCCTAATTTCACAAAGACGAAGTAGCGCGCAAAGCATAATTGTCTGTCTATCATGCCTCCATCTGACATTGTTAATCAAAGTTCGTTTATTTTTCTGTATATGTAACTGTAACTCAACAAACCAACTGTACGCTCATACTAATATATGCAATTTCGACACACAATTTAAACGGTTCGAATATAAACCTGTGTGATTCATTAGTCTACATAATAACAAGAAACAGGCGCCTCTGACGGGTTATTGCGCGCCATTATTTATTTTACCATTTCAGAGAACTGTATTTCGGAAATGAAAATGAATAATCGTTTGTAAATTTCATCTCAAGAGGATTTTCCCAATCTATAAGGGTTACCCGCATACGGGTTGCGAGAGAATTGTGTAATACATAATGGCTCAGTTATAATGGCCGACGGAGTAAGCAAGCGGAGTTTGGGTGATCTCTGGGCCCCAATAACCGACCAATGAAAGCGAGTCACGGAAATTGCCCGTACCCCGCACCGCGATATAAATTGACATCGCTCGCGAAGACTCCCCGAAAGCGGGATAACGACCTAGTGACATTAAGATATATTTTTGAATGGTTTATGTATTTTTCATGAAAAATCAATAGCGCCGTCTTTAATAAATTTTATTTATGACAAAGGAAATTAAATAGATATAATCATATTTAAAGAAAAATACTTTTTATTTTATTTAAAAGAACTCGATACATTTTTCATTATTTCGTGGTATGACCACAAGAAGAGTACCGATGATAGTAAAAACACCTTTGATGTTTGTAGGACTCCAAATGAACGGAAATTATTTTACGATCTCATACAAAAACTTCTTGAAAAAGAATTTATGATTCATTATGTGCAAGGCCGACTCATTACGACTATTTTCATTACATCCGATACATGACTAAGGGAACGTATTTCTTCCGCTCCCGCTAAAAATATCTCAAGCACTATATTAATGACTTGCCAAATGGCTACTACTAATTTGTAAAATTGTCGATATTGGATATGCGTAAGTCAGAAATTTATTGGTATGAATATTGTTAAAATAACTGACTTCAAAAACGTTTATATTCTGAATAAAACTCTTTGAAGGTTAATATTTGTTAATACGAGTATATATTATCAACCTTCACAAAAACTCAGATAAATCTTTTGGTGTAAGAATCACAACATAAAACGAACGAACAAAACTTTCGCAATGGTCGGTCACAGGATGGGTGACCAAAAATTTTTATCTCTAGCTACTCCGTGCGCCGTTGGTTTCGGTTACATTTGCAGTCGTTAATACCTTCCAACACGTATTGGGCCAGCGTGGAGGGTAATAGCCCATCCTTCTTAACGGTTCGTAAGGAAGGTCTGAGCCCCTGAAGTGGGGACGTAAAAACGCTGATGACAATGATAAGGCTAGGTTAGCCTTATCATTGTCATCAGCGTTTTTACGCCGGGCCTAGGTACGGCCCGGCGGTGGAGCAAGTGGAGGCACTTGCTCCGGCCGGCGGTGTCAGGGTTGGCGAAAAAACATGACAATATAATACAATAAAAAAAAACTGGCTTCACAAACAGTGGCTTTTAAAATAAAATATTTGATTCTACTCTCTAGAGTCGATCCAGTTTAGTTCCACTACAAAAATACCAATAAAATTTGAATGTCATGAAACCACTGCTATAGAACAAACCCAAAATAAAATTAGTTTACTTTAGGTAGTTTGTGCAACAGGATTGACACCATTCTCTAATATCCTTGGTTATCACTAATTAATTTCTAATCCAATTCCAGGGTCAATTCGTGGAGAAGGTAGCGAGCTAAGGTCAGCATCATGTGCCGGCTCAGCTGGCTCAGGCTACGAGAGTGACTTACGCCATTCCGGCTCTGATGTCAGCTGGGATCGCGGCCATAGAAAATACAGCATTTTCTCTAGAAGGGTGAGTAGCTACACATTTATACTTCTTTATAAAACGCCACCCAATAAAGCAAAAGTTCGGGTAGTAGTTTAAAACCGTAGAAGAAATAGGTGGGCAATTTAAAGGGTCGAATGAGATATGGAAAATCTTGAACTGGGAATAAAAAAGGAGGTGAAAATGTCCGGTAAAATGTGGAGGTAGTTATAAAAATATAGTTTAAACAAACCAAACCAGATGATAATTATGAACATCGTCAGCCTATTAATGTACCCTCTGCTTAGGCACAAGACTTCACTAATGATGGAATCGATTAGAAAGAACAATCACACATTTAAAAGAAAGATTACTCACATGATCGTTTTATAATAAAAATTACGTGTTGAATACATAAAAAAGACTTATTTCGAAATCTAAAGCCTTATGCTGAAAACGCCAATCGGTGGTTAAAGATCCGCCTATGGGCGGGTTAACTCATATGTAGGACAGCATGGAGGTATGTTGTGGCTTTTAGAGAAGTAATGAATGGGTTAACTTATAATTTCGATATACATTTTAAAGCATCCATCCTATGACAGACAAACGAAGGTTACCTAACTGCTGGATGGAATTTATATAGCAACATATCTTCATATGTTACAGGTGTCAGGCAAAAGTGTTCAGTTCCTATCGTGCCCAACATGCGATCATGAAACTCCTCTCCCTATCGGAGGTATAGCAGCCCTCCCCCTCAACTACATACTTCTGCGGAAGATGGTGGCTGCTGGCAGAGATGACAGCGCCAATGTACTTTGTGATCTATGTAACTGTGACAATAAGGTTGGTTCTCGATTGCTCAAAGTTATAAAGCCATGACGTAAAATATGAAGGACAAAAAACAAAGAAACCAACATCAGATATAATTGGTTATTGGTAACTTATATTTTCACGAGCACTACTCATTAAACGAAACTGTGTTTAAAAGGTTTTAAAATACACGCTATTTTCAATGTTTGTTTCTCATTTTTAAAACGTTTCGGGACCTGTTATAAAAATTACAATTGATTTTTAGCGGTGTTTGTTTCATCTGTTTTTCTGTAAATTTGTATTTGAAGGATTTTATTTTACCTCTTTATCCGAAAGGTAAATAATTCTGCTGAATCGTTGTGTTTTAGTTCCATCTTACAATGCAATGCTAATTGCAATGCTAGACAATGCTAATTTATCACTTAATATAATGGTCGATGTAGATATTTGGAACTTACAAATTTTTCTATAAAAAAAACCAAATGAAATGAAAAAACCTGAAAAGAATTTATAGGGATTTAAATTAGAGTGCCAAAACTTCTAGCTATTTTTCCATCCATAAACAATCCTTATAATATTATATAAGCGAAAGTTTGTGAATATAGTTGTTTGTGCCCTACTCTTTGACTTTTGAATATCGATGATTATTGATATACTTACGGATAATTATAAGACAGAATTATCGTTTATGCTAATTTTATCACACGAACCAGTTCCCTAGAGATAAATGTTCTGTCTATTCATCGAGCATCGGGTGGAGCCGCTAGCGAAAAATTGGTACTAACTGATTACCTAACCGTCGAAGTTTGTTATGGTTATATGCAGTTATGCCGTACACAAATGTTCGTATAATTATTTTAAGAATACCAGTAGCAGCACGTGCGCGCCGACTCGTCAACTCATGCGCACAGCTAAACGCGAACGATTTCACCAAATTCCCATTCGTTTCGTTACGGTCCGTTTGTTTGTTACACATTTAACTTTATGTTAAATTCATAAAGTGTGATTTTACTTGTGTTCTTAAATAGCACTTTCGGGGTGAATTTTTTCTCGCCTCCTTTGATATTTCATTTGGAACTTCATGAATGTTGATTATGTTTCGTTCGTAAGAAATCTTTTGAACGCAAATTAACCGTGTCATGAGTTATTAACAGCGTCTGAGTATAAACAAAAGATATTAATTTAGTTACTGGGTATAGATATTTTAGAAATTCAATAAAATAAGTTTTTTGCCTATTGTAATTTTTTTACAAAAATTAATCTTCTTTTTGAAAATTTATCGTTGCTTTGGGCAGATTTTCAAAAACACCAAAACTAATTTTTATTCATTATGTCGTGTAAAATACCTGAATATAAAGTTTCATGATTTTATTTTAGACAACGAATTACATACAAACTTTAATTTTCAACTCTTTTATCACATTGAAGAGTAACTTATGTGCTATATCAAGTCAATCTGGGTTTAGTGGTTTAGGCGTGAGAAGGTAACAGACATATACAGACTTGTTTTCACATGTATAAATATTAGTATAATATATAATAATTAAGCGATCCTCCTTGTCGCTCATTACGTCATATAATAAGAGATACCAGACGGTTACCCAACTATAAATAGACTAAAAACAATATTAATCACAATATTGCTTCATCGACTTTTAAACACGCAATTTTTTTAGATTGTATTGAGGAGACTTAGTGTAAACTAATGAAAATACATTGAGGTTAATTTATATTCTATTGGTCGTAGCCAACTGGGTAAAGTATCCGTCCAATGAGATGGCTGGCCGTATGATAGATAGATAGATAGATAAATTCTTTATTGAACCACTACTATCACTACATTATAAGTTGTTATAAAATACTTTGTTGGTGTATAGAAACATTAAAATTACAAAAGACAACGATTTATATCACCGAACTAGAGTGTGAAGCAGTAGCTCAAGAGGTATACAGCTCAGTGTTGGATGTTCCATATATGAAACAGACACTGATTTTCAGCTGTACCCTAGTCGCCGTTTGGTCGCTAGCGAAAAATCAAAGTGAATGTGGAGTGAGAGTACAGTGTAATTCCAAAGTATTATATAAATAATTTAATGTAATCAATATAAACAATAATAGATAAATATTATTACACTCAATACTAAATAGAAATTCTCAATAAACATTTACTAGGCCTAATTTTTGCTTCTGTAGATACTCTTCCTTCAGTTTCTTCATGAAAGATCCCTTACACAAAAGTCTAAGTGGGGGTGGGATGTTGTTCCAACATTTGGTGGCTTGGTGTCGGAAACTACCAGTAAATGCTACGGTTTTGTGTTGCTGTGTAGATAACAGGAATCGCCTCGACCTCATATTACAACCGTCACGTGGCTGCATATACTTGAGCTTCGTAAATAGGTATTCAGGCTCCTTATACTTAATTAGGTCAAATAACAAACTAGCGAGATAATAGCGCCATTCATTTGCACGGCTAAAAGTCAATCAGCTTAGTAACTATTACAATGTCCTTTTACTGTACTGTTGTACAAAGCCCCTGTCAAGGATCACTATACAAAACACAATTATTTATTTTATTGTTAGAAAAATAACCGCTTATTGATAAAATAAATTTATTTATTACAACAACAACAGCGGTACATGTAATTACATTTTTTAATATGAAATAATCGTACATATTATATTAACAACTGGTATACACAAAATTATTAAAAATTATGAAAAGTTATTTGAAAATATACTCATAGATAAATTAAGACAGAACAGGAAAATTATTTGAAAAACAGATGGAAAGAAAAACACAAATATGTGGTTTACTTGTGGTTAAACTTAAACAAAATTGAAATCTACGCAAAATTCTTGCACGCAGTTTAGTTACAATACGTAGGAATACTATAAGCCATAGGTTTTCAGAATAAAACAAAACCTATTACCTTCCCAGGATCTTAACTACTCTATACCTAATTTACAAAAACAAAGAAGTTTCATATAAACATTTTCACCATTTTTTACCCACTTCGGGGTGGAAATACCAAAAATCCGTTCTTAGTACACCTCTATGTAATAAGAGGAATGTACCTTCCAAATTTCAAGTACATACTTGATTGATAAACACGCTGTGCGTTGTTTATCAATCAAGTATGTCAGAATATCATCTTTTACTCGTATAAATGTATAGATTGCGTTATGCGTTGAGATTTAAACGACTACAGATACAGGTAAAAATTATATAGCTAAACCAAAAACGTAATGTTGTACGTACCCAGTAGGTTGTCGGGGTTAGGCAGAAGGGAGGAACCTAAACCTTTATGAATTCTAAACAAATCGTCAATAAATCACTGGGATTGATTCATAACTTTGGCGTCCAATGTGCCTTGTGACCTATGTGATTGATGTTTTTGCAGGCAGAGAGTAAATGCGACCAGTGCCTGGTAAGCGTTTGTTCGTCCTGCAGCGAGGACCACGGCCGACAAAAGGCCACGGCGCGTCACTCTCTGAGGCCGCTGGACCCTCTGCCGGTGCGACACTGCAGTCAGCACCCGCGTGCGGAGTTATCAGTCTATTGCGCCACCTGCCAACAGGTGACAATCTTTAAGGATTTATAACGTTTATATGGTCTAGTTTCTTGTGGCATCACAGCTATATAGCCCTTATTTCTCCTCCAAATATACTCGCATATCTCCAATTTGACAGCCAGTATGGCATCCGATTACATAAGCGTTTTTTCAGTTTTCTTAGACAATTAGCTGCATCTTGAGTAAGGTTATAGATGTTTCAACCTTCACATCAATCATACAAATTAGAAAATCGCCATCCCTACTTATGCCAAAAGGAGTTACATCGACCATGTCCCGATCTAAGCCTGTTCAACTGGCACCAAAGCTTACAAAGAAGACTGAAGCCCTTAAGTTTGGCCGTTGGGTCTGCAAAAATTCCGCAAAAATCAATATCAAAGTGAGAGAGACTCTGGGCCTTGATGCAACGGGGTGACGGGATTTGAACCTGACCATCGGTGGATGGCAAAATTCAACGTGGTGGTTTTAATGCTTTCTAACTGCGAAGGTGTGTAGGGGCTGTGTGCCAAAATGGGTAAGCAGTGTAGAGGTGTAGACTTGATTGTTTTTGATATACACCGCATGGAGTCATGCAGCCTAGTGCCCACCCTACATATGTACGCTGGTTAACCAAAACCGGAGCGCAATATTCAGCAGTGGAGTATTCAAACGTAATAATAGTAGAGCGTAAGGAATCTGCAGAAGCATCCCAGGTCATACCAGAGTTTAGGCAAGATGTTTCTGATTCCAATTTACATGGAGAGTTTGCCGAGATATTCGCTGTAGGTTAATAATCTACTCAGTGTAACTCCTAAGTATTAGGAAGGAGATTATATTTCAAAGCTTCTTCCCTGAGATACACTACTGGTTGGTAATGAGCTAACTGATTAATCAAGTGAAAAGAAGACACTTCAGTTTTACTCACATTAGGGTTCGGTCGCCAGTTCTGAAATTCCATGAGATACTCTCGTCGGTCGGCTGTTAGAACTTTTTCTTCTGCTGAAAATTCTCTGCTCTGTGCTATATATTTAAGCAAATTCTTCAATAAATAAAGCCTCACATTTCTAGTAATCTGAGAGACTCAAACATGTGCTATTATTATGCACAGTCGACGTTTTGGTTCCACTTATATACCGTGCTTAATATAAATATTTATTGACGTTGTTTTCGCATAATACGCCATCGTCTGTCCTTATTTTGGTCATTATGTGAACTTATACGTCGGTACCCACCAATCCGCACTGGGTATGCGTTAATTAAATTCCATCCGTAGGGAAATCCTGCTACTAGCAGCGGGGAAATTAACAGGCGATGATGTTATCACGTCGGCAGGTGATCTGTCGAGACTGTTGCATTGTGTCCCATTCGGGTCACGCGCTGGCGAACGCGTCACGTGCAGCGAGTGAACGTGCCCGCATGCTGACCGACGCATGCGAGCGTGCCAGGCACGTGCCGGAAAACGTGGAGAGGGCCATCAGGATCATCAACTCACAAGCATTTGAAGCTGATGTGAGTTCAATTCTGACTTCTTTATATTTGATTAAAGTACGAGTACCTATAAGTCATTGCGGTGAGCCTACTTCCTTGTGTAATTTAAATGACGTGACCTGTGAATGTTGAAGAATTTACATGAACGGATTATTATTTCCGAAGTCCCGCGCGGCTGTTGTGGAGGGCGAGGTGCAGGCGTGGGCGGAGCAGTACAGGCGCGCGGTGGAGGCGCACGTGCGCGCGCTGTGTGCCGCCGCCACACGTGCGCGCGACCAGTACCGCCGCCAGGTCGATGACCGCACCAGGCAGCTGGAGGACAACGCGAAAGACGCCCAGCATGCGGTCAAGTTCGCCGAGGAGGTATAAACACTTAACCGAACATGCGTAGGCTACCTGTTCTTCCCCAAGTGTATTTTTCCCGAGCGAATGTTATAATTCGTTACCAGGCAGGCGACTGCTATAGGTTTCTGATCCTAGTACCCCAGACACCGATAGTACTTCGCGGTAATTATCTAAACTACTATAGATACGAAACTCGATGTCATTCGAGGTAGCACATTCGGTTTGGGATGCGAAAGTTAAGATACCTTCGGAAGGATCGATCTAGAACCAATCAAAAATTTACTACCTCAAGTTCCTTCGTGCTTCGGAAGACACTTCGAGGCGTCGGTGCCGGCTCCGTTAACGTATGTTAACACCCATATATATACGCTCTGGACCTGAACCGTTCTCCATATTAGATTCCACCGTTAGGGAAAGCCTGAGCCCCAAAAGTCGGCGATGAGAGTAACAGCCAGTTGCACAAACGTCCATTAAATTTTCCATTAGTTTAAAGTGACTTTACCCATACAAATTTAACGCTCATTAGAGCTTAAAGGCGTAAGGCATCATTAAATCTTAATGTTTGTGCAACTGACCGTATATCTAGGAAATCATCGATCAAGCGGCCGGCGTCTTCGATTCTGCCGAATCCTGCGTCTGATATGTCAGTTGTGCGCGGCCAGGTGCTATCGTCGGCGCGCGAGGACGAGTTGCTGTCGCTGTACGGCGCGGTGGCGGCGCGGCTGCAGCGGGTGTGCGAGGCGCGCGCGGGGGGGGCGCCCCGCTGCGAGCTGCGCTTCGCCCCCGCCGCGCCCGCGCCCCACGACCCGCGCCTGGTGGGCCGCCTGCTCACGCGCGCCGCGCACCCGGACCACTGCCTGCTCCACACTGACGGTCACTCGCCCTATATTACATATCTTTAGCGGGGGAATTCACTAGCGGAACGGAAAGTCACTTCTTAGTGTGATGTAGTCACTTACCAATAAGACTTCCCTCTAAGGGAGAATAAAGCAGCCCTTGCTGAGTTTCTTGCCGGTTCTTCTCGGTACTTCGCCGTAGTTTTGCGAACCGTTGGCGTAGTTTTCGACTTTCACAAGTGCTATCTATAAGCCTAGACTGAATAAACTATTTTTATTCGATTTGCCCGCGTCTGCAGACATACCTGCCACACCTCGTTCTATAGGTCTGTGAAGGGAGTGCAACGGTCCCATACTAGCCAGTCATTTTCGTGACGACGGTCCCACACTAGCCAGTCATTTTCGTGACGACGGTCCCACACTAGCCAGTCATTCTCGCTCTATACTAAACGAGATCTGGCCGGCATGTCTGCAGATTTACCCGCGGGCATGCCCATCTAGTGAATTCCCCACTTTACACTCGAACGACAGCTACGTCTAAACAATAAGAACCTAATCTGTGAAACTATGATATCTAGTAATTTCCCCGTCCATCTACAAAACTGACACGCGTTTCGATAAACGCTAAAAGGTAACCCGCAGTAGCGAATAAATGGAGATCTTGTTTTGTAGCACACCCTGAGGAAATTCCTCGTCTCCAACGATAGACTCCAGCAGGACATGACATGTTTATTTGTAATTGTTAGGATAATGTTGCGTTGTTGTGTTTATCAAATATAAATGAAATGTTGGAAAAAGTTCTTGGTAACAAAATAATAACCCAAACAGAAGCATGTCCTATTATGGGAGATCAGATGCGATCTCCAGTAGCGAGGAATATACAGAAATTAGAGTTGGATGAGTATATCAGTGAGACCATGCAAGTAGAATATGCGAACGTATATGCGAATTTCATTCTCACCACGCTATATACATTGTGATGGATTCTGAACATAAAAGTATACCGTAGAGTAATTAACTTTGAAACAAGACGTAGGTAGTAAATAAGCTCTGTATTCAGGCTTACAAGATCTTCGGGTGGACTGCTCCCATGAAGCAATACTGGAGCTTCGGGATGATAACGATGAACGAATATGGTGTGGTGGTGAACAGGTAAGTTTTATTATTTCCGAACTTAGAAGACGCGGACATGGGTTTTATTCATATGATGAAAGTTGGTCATCTCTATTCTAGGAAGAGCCCGAATCGGTTGATAATTTTAAGTAATTGTGCATAAAACAAATAAAAAAAAATACTAGAATTAACATGACTCATCAACAGCCCGTTGTTCATTCCCACTGCAGGGGCTCAGGGCTGCTTTATGGATGGTTAAGGAGGATGTGCCATGACCCTCCACGTGGATTGGAGGGTTTTAAAGACTATAAATACAACCGGAACTAACAGCTTAACGTGCCTTCCAAGCACGGAGTAGCTCGACGTGATAACTTTTTGGTCACCCATTCCTGACCGACCCTTGAAGAAGTTGCTTAGTAGCCACAACATTCACGAGCTCTCATCCATTACGCTACTGACGAAGACTATAACTTATCAAATCAGCACTTAACTAAACTACTTAGAAATAATAGTTTCCAAACATGCAATAATAGGTTCAAACGTGATCAATAGTGTGGTTCAAACTTAAAAGGCTGTAAAATAGGGTCTGAAGATATCGAAATGCGCGGCACAAGCAAAATACATAATTGTAGCAAGAAATATAATTTTTATATATAAAAATTAATATCAATTTCTCTTGGTCACGCCATCACACGCGAACATCTGGACCGATTTCACTAATTATTTTTTTTTGTAGTGTTTGTTATGTCAGAAGATTCTTATGAATTAAAGAAATAAGAAAATTGTGTAGAAAATTTAAAAATTGTAGAATATTTTACCACTGTATAATATTATTTATTGAGCTTGTGCTTAGGATAATTTAGACTTTTTTAATGTAACCTTATGACGTTTGACTTAGAATTGAGAGAATGCGTGTTGCAAATATTGTCAATTAGGATACGCGCCCCAGCGCCGGCGCCGTCTCAATGAAACTCGGCGTCCTAGGCAAAACACTGGAACGACGCCTACAAAAATCACAACAAAATAAAAGACGCCTCTTAAAGAGTGAACGGCGACAGATACCCCTTGGATCTGCTGGTCAGAAAAACAAAGAACAAAATTAAAGTCCACATTTTTAAGGTTTCAAATATTTGTAGCAAGCAATCTGTTTGCCACGCTATGCCAACCCCAAATACAAGCGCCCTAGGCAGTTGCCTAATTTGCCTATACGCACGGGCCGGCTCTAACGTGGGCCCTTCCGTCGTTAATACACCGACGCAATTACATGCGCCCGCGAAACCTTATCAGTTGTATAGCAATGTTTCACATGTGCATTGTCTCGCTCTATAATAAGATCGAAGAAATAGCTGCCTCCTTGCCAGTACGGTTTCGCAGTCAACTGCGAAAAAGGTCGTTTAACAGATTTCAGGGTTGCCAGCCGACCTATCCAATGATTATTTGAACATCACGAATTTTGTTTCTCAACCCTGTTGTCATCCGCATCGTGTCGCATTTGTAACCGATTGCGTTGGTGCACTAACGGCGTTAAGTAGGGTTGCCACCATTTTTTTCCATTTAAAGTGCATTAGTTATTATTATAGATACAGAAAAAAAGTACATAGAATCAAAATAAAGTATTATATATATTTCTTTATTATTAAATTTCTAAATATATATTTTTTATTTATCAATTTTGTTTAACGAAAAAACACATACTACTAAGCTTCAAAATCGCAAACAAATTAAATCATGCGAAATGAAGAATTTCGTGTACTTTATTGTTCCCATGAGTATAGAGTACAATCGTCTGAAATAACGTACAGTACTTTATACTCAATACTCAATAAGTTTATTGTTTCCATAGATAATTTAAAATAATGTTACATAATTAAATTAGTCTCACTATGGACCTTGTCGGGCACAACAATAATAGGAAGGAGGAGCATTAGTTTTTATTATTGTAATTTATAAAAAATAAACAATACGTAATTAAAATTTTTCAATTTCGCTAATGTTATAATTTAAACATCAATATATTATATTCTTATATTTTGTATTATTACAAATCGTTGTTAATCATCCATTCATTCATATTAATTACTTCTCTATAAAATGTGTCATATTTATTAAAATTTGCGTTTTATATATTTTTGTCTTTTAAATATTCCGATATATTATAAAAGCTTTTATTAATGAGTAATTGTTTTAAATTATAAATAAATTTTTGTCATCTTTATATATATTGGGCAACTTGTTATAAATTTTTATTGACATGATTAATGGGCTTGAAGAATGACGTTTCATTTTAGAAGGTGGTAGCATTAATTTATTACTGGGTCTAAGAGGTTTAATTATGGTATTATCTCGCTTGGATATAGAAATTTGGTTATTTTCGAACAAACCTGCATAATTCAAGTAAGTATATATAAACAAGGTAGAGTTAGGATTTTATATTTTATAAAGTAAGGCTTGCATGATTCTGTTTCATTTATATTAAATACTAGTGGCCGCCAGCGACTTCGTCCTCATTTTCCATTATTTCTTCGGTCCTAATAGTTGCAGCATGATATTATATAGCCTATAGCCTTCCTCGATAAATTGTCTATTCAACACAAAATAATTTTACAATTCGAACCAGTAGTTCCTGAGATTAGCGCGTTCAAACAAACAAAGAAACAAACTCTTCAGCTTTATAATATTAGTATAGATAAACCGTAGTGTGCGAATGTACCAGTCTTAACGGCTCTTTTGGCTAGAGAGTTGCAGCCTCGTTAGGTGCGCCAACCGCTCGTCTCCCGTTTTCCCAACATTTCCCTTCACTGCTCTGCTCCTATTGATTGTAGCGTGATGAAAAGTATACTATAACCAGCTCAGGAGTATGAAAAATAATTGTACCAAGTTTCGTTAAAATCCGTCTAGTTTTTGTTTCTAACACGGTTATACAGACAGACAGACAGACAGACAGACAAAAATTTTACTGATTGCATTTTTGGCATCAGTATCGATCCCTAATTACCCCCTGAAATATATTTTATGTACAGAATTGACCTCTACAGATTTATTATAAGTATAGATTATTCTCACGAGTTTCTTTTGTTTGATTAATAAGGTAGGAGCATCAGTGCTACATACCTATAAAATTATTCCATAGCCGAACCATATTATAAAGTGCGTGTGGGGGTTGCCAGGTGGGCGCGTACTACCGGCGGCGCGACAGCTGCCAGCCGCCGCGGGGCGCGCGCGTGCACGACGCGGGCGACGGCACGTACACGCTGCGGGTGACGCCGCGCGCGCCCGGCGCGTACCTGCTCGCCGTCACGCTACATAATAAACCTATCAAAGTAAGGCCCGGATTCAGTCTAACGCAAGAGGCCTTCTTAGTAAAAAAAACGAGCAAATACCTACGCGTGCAGCGCTGATGTGCAGGGCTGCTACGCCGGTGAGTTGTGTGTGAACTGAGGTCCGGTTGTGGACTGCGAAGACCAGGTCGGGATGATGCCGTCGAGTGGTGCTGCTGTGATGGACCTTGGTGTTGGCTAGCTTGTTACTGAAGTGGCTGTGCTGATGAGGGATGAGAGGTCGATGATGAAGGGTGAGAGCCTGTTGATGAAGAGTGATGGCTGCACTGTAGTGCTGAAGTTTGCCGATGTTCCGCTGGGGTCACCACTGTAGGAACCTTTAGGTTTGATATGGGGTCCTACTTCTTGCAGTTCGTCTCGCTATCGATTGTTTTGTGTTGAAGCGGCAACAGAAATATATTATCTGTGGAAATTTCAAATACCTAAATTTCACAGTTCGTGATATACAACCTTGTGACAGACAGACAGACAAATGGCGAAGTACCTACGGAATCCTAAAACAGAACGCTTGACGTTTATAAATTTTTCCAAAAAAGAAACAGTTCCTACACAAATAGAGCTTACTTAATAATGTATGTTCTGTATATCTGAGAAATAGTGGACACACATTGTCTA